TCTCTTCTGCCTTATTCCCTCTCCTCCAACAATTTGCTCCCAAGTGAAGTTTCAGAATTTGCTCACTGAATGAACAATTCTGAGGAACTTCTACTCACCCTCAGGAAACAGCAAAAAACACCTCCAGGCCTTTGCCCAGAATGCCAGGTTTGCATAGTCTTCACATCCTACTAGACTTCTGGTCAGAGTTCCACTAGCACGAGGGTTTTTCAGTCTGTTCTGTCAGCTGGCTATAGTCCTCAGGCCTATGTGAGGCCTAGTTATGAGGATTATATTACTTATTTACAAAAATCAGGACTGGAAGAACACTGAATTAACTGTTCCTCTTGATACTTTCATTGTGAATTTCTTGGATCCGGCTGTGTGACCTTGGGCATGTTATATAGCCTCTCTGAGCTTTCCGTTCCTTATCTGTCAAAAGGGGAATAAATACAGGCTCATTGTGAGAATGAAAAGTGACAAGTGTATGTGTGTAACTGTTGTGTTCTTCCTGGAACTCAGGAAGGGCCTTGCTGTGCTGCCCTTGTCCTCCTTTCAGGGCTAATGTGCTGATTAGAAGCAAAGTGTTATGGCTCCTGGATAAGGAAGGGCTGTTACTGAGATCTTTTAGGGTAAGTCATTACAGGATGCCTCTGAACTTTGGGAAATGGAGAAAGGTGTGCAAGAGAGGAGCTGAGTACTATGAAGTGGCAGGTCACATTCTTGTTCCTCACAACAACCCAGGGAGATGGAGGTATTACTTTTTTCACACACTCAGCTCCTGGAGCTCAGAGACCCTGGTCTGCTCTCTCAACTGGAGCATGGAGCTGGAGCTAGATGCTGCAGTGATGCCCCTGATGGGGGAGAAAAGAGGTAAAAGAGGTGGCTAGATAGGACAGAGTGGGAGCTCCATGATCAGAAGAACTTTAAGTCAAGAGGAAAATGAACATTTGAGAGAGTGCACCTAGGAGGCTAGTTGCAAGAAGACAGGATGAAAGACGTCTTGAGGTCAGGCATGGTGGTGCACACCTGTAATCTCTGTGGCTTGAGAGGCTGAGGCAGCATGATCATGAGTTCAAAGTCAGCCTCAGCAACTTAGTGAGACTCTACTCAAAGTAAGTAAGTAAGTAAGTAAATAAATAAATAAAAAATAAAAAGCGTTGGTGATGTGGCTCAGCACGCGCACGCGCACACACACACACACAAAGGATGTCTTGAAACTGGAAGCTTAGAGAACAATCAGGCCAACACAACCATGTACAGATGAGGAACCTGGGGTCCAGATAGAGAAGCAGGGCAAAAGCAGGTCTGGAAATCAGTTTTCCCTGAGTGCTTATTTTGGAGCTGCATTTCTGGGTGGTGGCTGAGTGCCAGAGGGGTGGTCTATGGACAGCCCAGTGTTGAAAAACGAACAGGATGTCTTTGGGGATATCAGAGTCCCTAGAGAACTGGGGATAAGAACAAACTGAATTATTTTGGTAATCTGCCTCTGGAAAGCTCACATTGTGACACATTTTCCTGTCACAAAAATTACTCTAATTTTCAGCTTGCTACTAAAAACAACAGAGTCAGGTGTGGCAGTGGCTAACTGTAGTCCTAGCTATTTGCAGATCAGACCGTTTGAGCCCAGGAATTTTGAGGACAGTCTAATAAACAGCTATGATGGTGCACACCTGTAATCCCAGTGACGGCAGAGGCTGAGGCAGGAGAATTGCAAGTTTGAGGCCAGCCTCAGCAACTTAGAGAGTCCTGAAGCATCTTAGTGAGGCTCTGTCTCAAAATAAAAAAATAAAAAGGGTTAGGAGTGTGGCTCAGGTGAAGTACTCTTGGGTTCAATTCCCAGTATAAATAAACAAGGGGGGGCCTGGGGTTATGGCTCAGTGGTAGAGTGCTTTCCTAGCATGTGTGAGGCCCTGGGTTTGATTTTCAGCACTACATATAAATAAATAAAGATCCATTGACAACAAAAAAATATTAAAAAAAAAAAAAAAGAGAAGGAGGAAGGAAATTTTGACCTTCAGTCTTGCCATCCCTGCATGGCTGGTTCTCTTCCTGGCTACTTTTCTATTCCAGCTTTCAGATGAATCTTTCCAAAAGCAAGCCATCACCCTACTCACGCTCTCAGAGTCTCCCAGGTTGACTGAATCACATCCAGATACTGATTTGTTTTCAAGGTCTTCCTAGTCTGCGCAGTTTGGCTTGTCAGCCTCTTATTCTGCCTCTCTGTTCCTCCAAAGTCTCTTTGCTCATTAGCAGCTTCTCATATAGGACTGGCATTTTCATGTTGCCCTGTTTTATTCTAATGGAAACCCCTTTTCCTACTTTCCCTCTTCCTCTGCCTTCAAAAGCTTATCTTTCAGGCCCAGTTCCTAGGAATCCTCCCCTCTGTGACCCTCTCCTTGAACCCCCACTGCCATCCATCCCAGCAGAAATAATCACTTTCTCTTCCCTGCTCCCACAGCAAGTCTGTTATTTCTCTACCATACTAGTGACTGAAGTCTGAAGTGAACTATACATTGTTGTGTATGAATGTCTTTCCTTCTCCATGTCTTATTAGGAAACATTTAAAATATACGCAAAAATGAAAGAATTTTACAGTTTAACACCCATAACTCTAACACTTTATTTGTACTTTTAACACTTTATCCTACTTGTTTAAGAACTTTTTTGTACTCATGTCAATTTATTACTATACTTTGAAAAAAAATTTGTTCTCATTAGTTATATCCTACTAGTTTTACCACATCTCTAACCATCATTCCATGCCTCTATCCATCTATAATTAGATGGATAAACACCCACACATATAAACACACATTTATTTTTTGTGGTAGTGAGGGTTGAATCCAGGGGACTTCTACCACTAAACTACATTCCTAGTTCTCCTTTTTATTTCTTGACACAGGGTCTTGCTGAGTTGCCCAGGTTGGCCTTGAACTTCCAGTCCTCTGCTTCAGCTTCCCGTGTTACTGGGATTGCATACCTGCACCATCATAGCCAGCACACTGAACTATTTAGGAGTAAAAAGTCTAATGTATGTGAATGAAACTCCAACGGCTCAAAATTTTTGTATATGGAATATGCATAATTAAGGAAATGGGCAAAATGATAAAAATAGGTGAACACATAAAGGATACATGCAAGTTCTACATACTATTTTTATTCTTACAACTTTTCAGTAAGTTTGAAATTATTCCCAAATAGAAAGTTTAAAAAATGCTCCCCTGCAAAGTTCCCTGCATCTTAATTGAGTCAGTGTGGACTGTGCCCGCAGGAATTCCATGAGTATGTGCAGCTCTTTCCTAAATATAAGTTAGCTTGCCCAACTTGCCAAATATTTGCTTCTAAGCTAAGTGAAAGTGCCAGGAACTAAGGCAAGCATCTTTTAATTTTCATCTCTTCTCAGAAAATTTTCCCTAGAGCTAGATCTCAAGAGGCTTAATTGAATTGGCAAGAGTTGCTTTTCAGCTTTTAAGTACACTGTGATGAGCTCTGAACAAAATATCTGAGATCTGGGACCTGCCTTCCTTTCTTCTGGATCTGCTGCATGACATAGGCCTTCTTAAAGGTAAAGGAGCAACTGGAGTAGAGGTCATAAACTGGCAAATCAAGAGCTGCCAGTCCACATATGCATTTGGCCTGCACAGTATTATTATTTTTTAACAATGCTCGATTAGCTCCATTAGCTCTTGACACTCAACACACAGGACAGTTCATGTAAAAATGTGGCTGTCTTCTCTGACCACATTGTGTACATTTTCCTAGCAACTGACTAGAGATGGGCATGTACCCTTCTGCTCCAGAGTCTTGACCCCATCCTTTAATATGACCAATGGACTTTGCTCACTTACAAATTCTGCTTGGTCTTTGGACTGGAAGATCTCCAAGGGTCTTCCAGTTCATGCCATTTCTGACCATGTTTCATCTCTTTAGTGACCTCAGATGCTGAACAAGTGATTGGATGGAGCTAAGTGAAGTGCAGAAGCAATAACAGCCTATATGAGAGCTGTCTTTTAAGTACACTGACCTAGATAGGGTTGCATTCTGGCTTAAAATGCTGAAAGCCCATGGTGATATGAAGGGGGTGTGACAAATAAGAGTCAAAATTGGTAAGAAACTATAAGAATTTATTGGAAATGGGGCATTCAGAATGGATGATAGAACTAGAGGAAAGCCAGGGGGCTGCTGAGCATGCCAAGTGCCTGGAACTGAGGGCATCACTGTGAGTAATCTTGGAGTCACACCTGACAGAAGTTATGGTTTATGGTTAGGAAGTAAATCCTAGAATAAAAAAGGAAAGAAAAAACAACAACAAAAAAATCAAGGTGTGGTGGAAAGAGCACTGAGCAAGGATCAAAGGATGTGGCCTCTAGTTCCGGATCTATCACTTAATAATTGTGTGATCTTGGGCACATCATTCCAAAATTCCTGAAGCCATTTCCTCAGTTTAATCTGGGGCACATCACTCCACATTCCTCAACCCATTTCCTCAACTTCAAAAGTGGATAATGCTAGCCCCGCCTATCTCAGATTTAGGGAAAAGCTAACTTGGCCTTCCAGAGAGCAAAGCACTTAGCAACTGGGGAAGTAGTATCACAAGATAAGATGAAATTCGGGAATAATTTAGTTTCAGAATGCCAGGGCTTGAACGGCCCTTTGAGGACCCGCAATCCTCTCATTTTGGGGTCCCAAAGAGAGAAATGACATAGGAAGGTTAGGGGCAGAGGTGAGCACAAAGATTCATCATTTAAAAAGCAGACCCCCCTCCCCCACCCCCTCTGCTGCTTCTAGGAGTAGATAAGTGAACCTAAGTCCAAGGTCAGCCTGGGCAATTTAAGAGACCTCGTTTCAAAAGAAAAAAAAAAATCGGGCGGGGAGGGTAGGGTGTGGTTCAATGGTAGAACGCTTGCTTAGCATGCGCAAGACCCTGGGTTCAATCCTCAATACTGAAAAAAAAAATGAACTTTGTTATTCTTTTTCTGTACTGTCTCAGAAATGCTGTGTGTTCTATCTACACTTACCGCACATCTCAGTTTGGACCAGCCACGTTTCAAGGGCGGCTCGTGGCAGCGACCCCTGGTGCTGCCCCAGCTGCCTGGTCCCCTGGCTCCTCCCAGCGAGCAGCTGCGCCAGGTTACATCACAGAGCCGCAGGCGGCCTGAGAGCAGCCCGGCCCGTGGCCCCGCGCTCCCACCCTCCCCGCTCCAGACGCCCAAGCTCTGAAGGGAATCAGCCTTACAGAACAGCGGGGGCAGCGGGTCAATCCGCTGTGCGCCCGGCTTCCGCGAGCTGGAGCGCAGCGGTCCACACTCCACGAGCCTTGCCCCCAACGGCCCGCGCTCGTGGCGCGTCCGGGAGCGGTCAAAGAGCCTAGGCCAGCTGCCATTGGCTCGCGGCGGTCCTCAGCCCGCCCTAGCCCCGCGCCTATTGGCCTCGACGGCGGCGCCCGCTGGGTAGGGGCGGTGCTCTGCCCTCGCGCCGGGCCTCAAGAGGGCGGCGAGGAAGCGGCGCCTCCCTGCGCCCCGCCCCTCGGCTCGCTCTCGGGCTCCGGCTGCTCCGGCCCTTACCCGGCTCCTCACGGCTCCCTCCAGCTCCGGCGCGGCGGCGGCGGCGGGTAGGTCACACGTAGGCGGCCGATCCGAGGGCCGCTTTTCCACTGTCCCGGGGCTGCCCGAGCCTGCCCCGCGTCCACTTAGACCCCGCAGGGCTGCCTTGGGCGGGGAAGGGCGGTGGCCCGGGCTCGCCGGACGTGGGGCGACCGGGAGGGGCCGGGCGGGGCCTGCGGGCGTGACCTCGCCGTCTTCGAGGCGCGGCCCCGGGGCTGTGTGTCACGGCGGGTTCAGGTCCCGCGTGGGGTCGTGGGTGGTGAAGCTGGTGGCCGCCTCATTTTTCTCCGGGTGTGGTGAGCTCAGAGGCAAGGGGCAGCTTCAGCCTGGGGCCTGGGTGCAGCTCGGCATGTGGGGGACTCAAGGGTTGTTTCCTGAGGCATTAGGGGGTCAGTTGACGTGGGACTGAGGCGAGTCTTGGAGAGTGTTCTGTCGGGGGTTGTGGGTGGGGCTGAGAGTTGTCTAGAGAACTGGGCCCTAGCCGCGGCTCTTACTGTGTGCGTGTGGGCCCTGGCAGTTGGACTAAAGTCCTATGGCTGCGGGAATGGGAAGGGATGGCATTAAGAGAGGGTGGGGACAGGGACTAGAGAAGGAGCAGTTGGATCAGAGATTATGGTTTAGCACATGAAACAGGTTCTTCGTTGGTATGTTGGGTTAGCTCAGTTTTATTGAAATGGTCCTTTGGGTCGTTCGGAGTGGGGTTTTACCTTCAGAAACGTGTAAATTAAATGCATTTGCTGCTTTGGGTAGCTAATCACCTTAGGTTTGTGTTTTAGGACCCGTACTCAGGGTGGAGCATGTACTCCTCGGAAAGATTAGTGTTACCCAGCTTTCTATTGGAAAACCCCTTTTCTCCTTTTCCTCTGGTCCAGTTACAGTATTGCTCCCCTGGGCCTCTCAATTCTCTCTCCCTGGCTGCATAACATTGCAGTGTTTCTTGCTCTCTCTCTCTCCCGCCCATTTCCCTGCTGCTGCGCTTTTGGCAACTGCCCCTGCTCTTTCCCAGGGATGGTTGTGGCATTGCATCAGGGGATATTTGTGCTTGTAATTTGCTCACTCAGCCCTGGAGGAGGGAGAATAGTGTTTTGCAGAGACGGGAGGGGGTGCCATCAGCTTGGCTGGGTAGGCAGAGAAATGGGTGTGGTGAGGGGGAATACAACTGCTCTGGGCCTATAGAGTGACATTGCCCAGTCCTCAACGCAGAGATTCAAAGACCAGCAACAGCAGCAGCTATTTTTATAAATCAATCCTGAATCCAAGCTGAGCACATGGATTTAGAGTGAACAGTTGTCATGTTCTAACTATTGTGGGGTATTACTATTTGGTAGACAACATTAGAGTTGCTAAGAAGAGACTCCATCTGTACAACGCAGTGTAGGCATTTTATTTGCAACTATTTTAAAAATATTTTTTGTTTAGTTGTTGATAGACCTTTATTTTATTTATATGCAGTGCTGAGAATCAAACTCAGTGCCTCAGAAATGCCAGGCAAGTGCTCTCACACTGAGCCACAGGCCCAGCCCCTACTTGCAACTTTTTTTTTTTTTTTTTTAGTTTAATTTTATTTATTTTCAGTACTGGGGATTGAACCCAGAGGAGTTTTACCACTGAGCTACATCACCAGTCCTTTTTATTTTTTTTGAGACAGGGTTTCATTAAGTTACTGAGGGCCTCCATAAGTGCTAATGCTGACCTGGAACTAGGGATCTTTTGTCTCAGCCTCCCAAGTCTGCACTTATTTGCAACTTTTTAACTTTGCTTTTCTGTACTCCTTACAGTGGGAATCTCTTCAGGGGATGTCGCTTAAATTGATGGAGTTTAATTGTCTCTACTACATTTCATATGAAATGTTTAACCTCAGTTATACTCTTCCTTTAAAATTTAACTTTAAAATAATAATTAGAGCACTTACCATCTCCCATGAGCTAGTTTTATTATTTATTTTCAGGTGAAGAATGAGACAGGAATTTGAAGTTACAGATAGTAAAATGATATTTAAACCATCATCTAGGTCTTTCTGACCTCCATAAAGTAGTTTAGAAACTTCAGAATTTTGGTCCACACAGCATGATTTCAAGTGCTTGGGAGTATATTAATGCAAAGTAAACTCACTAGAGACTGATAAACCAGATGCCAGTTTATTTATGTCAGAAGTATTGGGTGTCATGTACACAGTTGAATTTAATTATCCACTGACCAAGACACCTTCATTGTTCCTGGCAGCTTAATTAGTAATAAGAAGGCAGTTGATTGTAAAATTAGAATGAGGGCACTGAATATTCTTAAGGGATTTTTTATTTTATTTTTTTTTTGGTACTAGGGTTGAACTCAGAGGCACTTGGCCACTGAGCCACATCCCCAGCTCTATTTTGTATTTTATTTAGAGACTGGGGTTGCTTAGGGCCTCACAGTTGCTGAGGCTGGCTTTTGAACCTGAGATCCTCCTGCCTCAGCCTCCCAAGCCACAGAGATTACAGGCGTGCCCCACCACGCCTAGTTTAAAGGATGTTTTAATCAAGTTCCAGAAGCCTAGAGAGTTTCCCTTTTCCCATTGTAAGAACCCATGAACTAAAGTTGGAAAGAGCTGGGGTGTGTTTAAATACATTTCCCACTCTGCTTGTTTGGTTGGTTTTGGTCATCTCATATATTTGTCAGCATCCCTGTGTTAAAATTCTTAAAAGTGGGCTGGGGTTGTGGCTTGGTGGTAGAGCATTTGCCTAGATGTGTGAGGCATTGGGTTTGATTCTCGGCACCACATATAAATAAACAAAATAAAAGTTCATTGACAACTAAAAAAATATTTTAAAAATTCTCAAATATACAAATAAAGTTGCTTATTAAAAAGTCATTTCCCATTGTTTATTGACACTGAAGGAAACACCTGGATTTTCTTTCTTTTCATTTTTTAAAACAGTATTTATTCTTAAGTTTTAGGTGGACCCAATATCTTTATTTCACATTTATGTGGTGCTGAGGATTGAACCCAGTGCCTCGTGGATGCTAGGTGAGCGCTCTACCACTGAGCCACAACCCCAGCCCTCTTTTCATTTTTTTTTCTTCTTCTTTATTTCTTCTTTAAAGATCCTGAGTTGCCCATGCTGATCTGGTTTGTAGCCAAGTGATCCTCTGTTCAGCCTCCCCAAAAATTGGGACGATAGGCACATACCATTATAGGCTTTGAATTTTCTTTTTTCTTGTCTAGATGACTTAACTTTAGTCAGAGAGTTGGTTTTTCCTGATCTCAGTGCCTTGGTCTTTTTCCTAATCTTGTTTCTAAATTTGGTAATCCATCCATGGACTATAAGTTCTTGCTATTGACACTTCAAAAATTTTTTTAATGTATTTTTTTGAATTTATTTTTATAAATTAAACTAAGGATTGAACCCAGTACCTCATGCATGCAAGGTAAACACTCTACCACTGAGCTACAGCCCCAGCCCCTACACTTCAAGTTTTTGACATTATTTTTTCTCCTCCTCCTCCTCCTCCTTTTTTTTTTTTTTTTTACATTAAACATGAATAGTTCATGTGTTTGTAGGGTTGAAACAGTTTTCCTTCGAGGAACATTTTTGACCCAATGGAAAGTATGTTGGTGGTTCATTTGATTTTTGTCAATTTGAGAGAGAAACCAAGAAAATACCAGTTCTCACTGTCTTTTTTTTTTTTTTTTTTTTCCATGTTGAACTATTGAACACAGGGCTTCATATGTGTTCAGGACACCTTTCACCATTGTACCAGTGAACTACACCCTCCAGCTTGATATGCCCTATTTTTTATTGGTATTGGGCCAAGGCACTATACCTAGTCCTTTTTAGTTTTTTGAGACAGAGTCTCCCTAAGTCCTGTCTTGGCTAAGTTGCTGAGGCTGGTCTCAAACTTGTGAGCCTCCTGCCTCAGCCTTTTGAGTTACTGAGATTATAGGCACATGGACCACCTTGCCAGGCCTGGTGTGCTCTTATTGTCACATTAAATCTGGGAATACCAGATAACTAACATGATTCATTACTGACATAACTTTGATGAGTTAAAGTGATGTTGCCTTTATTTCTCAGAAGGGAAAACAAGTCCTCAAGACATATGTACTCCAGGGGAAAAGAATTAATCTCTATCTCAAGAAAGGGGTATCCAGGAATTTGTGGGCATATTTAAAAATCATTATAGTGTTTTATAATACTTATAGGGTAGCTGGGTGTGGTGGCACATAACTGTAATCTCAGTGTCTAGGGAGGCTGAGGTAAAGAGGATTGCAAGTTCAAAGCCAGCCTCTGCAATTTACTCAGGCCCTAAGCAACTTAGTGAGACCCTGTCTCAAAATAAAAAATAAAAAGGACTGGGGATATGACTCAGTGGTTAAGCACCCCTGGGTTCAATCCCAAGTATTAAACCAAACAAACAAAACTAAACAAACAAAACACCCCCCACAACTCTTATGAGAAGATGCTTACGAGGCTATACAGAGATCTGAGTTGTCCTTCAAATTTCATCCACTCATTTTAGTATTCATCAGTGAATTTTTTTTCTTTACAATGCTAGGGATTGAACCCAGGACCTCACACAAGCCAGGCAAACACTACCACTGAGTCACATCTCCAGCCCTTATTAGTGAATCTTGCCAGCAGCAGCAATCATTGTGGTGGTCTAATGGTGATTTTCTCTGTTCCTACTTCTTTCTATTTATATTATTTGGAATTCTTCTGTAAGTAAGGTTTATGTTTCCCATCCATTTCTTTTTTTATTTTTTAGGTGTAGATGGACACAGTACAATGCCTTTATTTTTATTTTTTTAAAGAGAGAGAGAGAGAGAGAATTTTTTAATATTTATTTTTTAGTTTTCGGCGGACACAACATCTTTGTTTGTATGTGGTGCTGAGGATCGAACCCTGGCCGCACGCATGGCAGGCAAGCGCGCTACAGCTTGAGCCACATCCCCAGCCCCAAAGTGCCTTTATTTTTATGTGGTGTTGAGGATGGAACCCTGATCCCACCCGTGCTAGGCGAGCGCTCTACTGCTGAGCCACAATCCCAGCCCCCCATCCATTTCTTTATCCATCAAATCACTTATATCAACATGGACTCATTAATTTTTTTTTTTTTTTTTTTTTTGGTACCAGGGATTGAACTCTGAGGGGTA